CTTGAAAATTTTGATTATTGACCGTAATTTTTGTCTTTACAGGAAAATGATAGCTGCCTAGAGAATCATCATCACATACTTGCCACTCACAAGACAGAGTCAGTGGAGAAGTTGAAACAAGTGTTAAGTCTAATGCGTTCTGCCTCCATCTATGAGATCCTACTGTAGTTATCTGACCATCATTCAAGATTACAAGATTGCTGTCATCTATACTTGCAAGAACATCCCTACCTCGTGAATCTAATTCAGTACATCCCCATAACGTATGATGGGCGTTGAAATCACCAGCTATAAAGACTGGCTGTGGCAAACTTTGGATTAAATTATCTAATTTGGATTTATTATAATTAATTGGTGAATTAGGGGACAGTAAACACTAACTAAAGCTAATAATTTATCATTGTATTGTATTTGTACAGCTATATTTTGTAATGAATCATCAGAGAATGTATTGATAACACGAAATCCAATTTTGTTATGTAGAAGTATTGCTACTCCATTATGATCATTACCTGAATCTAATCGTATAATATTATAACCTTTTACTCTAAAATTGTGCCTAGGTCTAAGCCAAGTTTCACATATGAGAGCAACATCTATGGTGTTCTCATATAAAAATTGTGTAAATTAAAAGCGATTTTTAATTAAACTCTGTGCATTCCATTGTAAAATGTTAAACTGATCCATAAAATATTAAGTGTTAAATAATGAAATATCTATTTTGGTTTCATTGTATCTATGAGAACATCTTTAATAAGCTGAGAAGATATGGTGGTTTGTTCATTTGATTTATTAAGAGTTAATACTTTATTGACTGTATTTAAAATTATATTAATAATGTCATCATTCTTCAGCAGTGACATAAGAGCATCTTTGGGATTTTTTTTTGTTTAATTCGGGGAATTCGTTTTTATTAAAAAGGTCTACAAATGGGGATTTGTGTAATTTAGCCTGATTTTCTTTTATCTTTTGTTTCTTAACAGGACACTATCCAGAAAGGCTTAGATGGTTTCCTTTGCAATGTATGCATATCGCTTTATCTGAAGAGACTTGGCAATCTTTGTAGCTGTGATTTTCAGTACAAATTGAGCATTTCACAGAATTTTTACAATACTTTGCTAAGTGACCATACCTCAGACAGTTAAAGCACTGCTTCACTGGTGGAATATACTGATTTACCACGAACCGCTAACCATGAAGATCAAAGTGGTCCGGCAAAACATTAGAAGCGAATGTGATGGCCACGGTGCCCGTCGGCTGCAGCAAACTGCGTCCTGCATCATTCTTATGTTTCCTCATTATCCTTTTAACATATATTATCTTCCTGTAAGTCGTTAACATACCAAAAATTCTTGAATTAGAAAGATTAGTGGAAACATTGGTTATGACTCCTGTTATTTCTGTCCCTACAGCTGGGATAGATGCTTTCATTTTGTATTCATTAAGAAATGTAATATTATTTAAAAATGCATTAGCTAGAGAGGGCTTTTCAAAATGAACGCCTATTTTGTATTTATTCATAGATTGCAAATATTTAATGCCTTTATTGAATATGTGTGGACAGAGACATCATGTCCTGCGTGCCGATTGGCCTTCTTTCATCATTTGATTCGACAAATACAACAAAATCAACGAGAATAGAGTCCTCAGGGTACCTCCTGTTGTAGTCAGATACAAAGTACGGCTTATACTTGCGCTGCTCTTTCTCAGGATCTTCCTCAGTACTGGTATCAATTTCTTCCTCCTCACTCGTTTCTTCAAATACTTTTTCTTCTCCCGGCAACTTTTTTTTCTACGTTTCCCCATGATGAGGAAACCCAGTAACAATTAAACAATAAAAGTTTAGTGCCTTTTAACTAAATAAAGTAAAATTAAAATTTTAGTTTAAAAAAAGGCGCCTATCACGTTTCAAGGTTCCCGCGCCTCCCCAACAATAGTCAACAAAATGTCAATGTATTTTTTGTCACTGTATGACATAATGGCCCTGGACCCATACCAGAAATATACATTTATAGTGTGCAAATATATAAAGGAGATACAATAATCTAAAAACTCTTAATTATGAAGGTAGGGCACATTATGTTGAGAATGTATTAGGCTAACATCAAACATCCATAGGTCGCAAGACTTTTTCCAAGCATAGATAAATATATATGTAGCAAGCTACAGATACGACAGTGACTTTTAGTCAAGTTTCCCAACTACGCCTTTTGGCGCTGCAGTCGCCCATTTTGACAGATGAGTAATAAAAAAAAATATAGCTTAGAGATTGCAAGCACACATCCTTCAAATCATCGATATCGATGTTTAGTGGTGTTCTTATTTTATTGATATCGACAGATGTGCATTATACAGGAATAATAATATTTATTTTTTATTCAAGCACACCTACATCATATACATACGTATTCTTAGGATTAAATTAAAGGCACATTAAGTTATATGAACAAATTAGAAAATTGTACATAACATTGTTCATAAATAAGTACAATTTGACGAGAAACAGAGCAATATTTATAGTTCATTAAATAAAGCAAATTAAACCACATGAATCATATTTAAGTGCTTAATATTTTACTTTTCAAGTTACTTTTTATTAGAAGCAATGCTATTTATTTTTCATGTAGGGTAAACCTGGCCATTTTTTTACAAAATTGTTTTAATTGTATTAATAAGAAAGTTATTTGTTTAACATATAAAGGTTTTCAAATAGTTCTCTACAGTTTTAAAATAGATTGGACATTAAGCAAGTCTTTGTGAGGATTGTTCACCTACAAGTTACAATCTTTTTTTTAAATTTTAACATCTCTTCTTTTATTTCATTTTCTTCACCACGTAACCTGAAAAGAAATAAATAAAAATAAAGTCCAATATTCATATTTTATGACTGAATGATAATCATAAATCATATATTATTCATATTAAGGTAAAAATGGGCGGCTTTATGGCAGTTGGCATTTTCTTTCAGTCAGCCATGGTGTGGTGAAAATAAAGTGGTAGATGCAGTAAATAAGAAATAAAAAATATATAAATATTAACATTGTATACATCCATTATCAAGAGCTTTCTCAATGTCTTCAGGCACAGGGTTCCAAATAAGTGTAACCTTAATACTAAAGGAGTTGTTGATAAAACCATTGAAGGGTAGTGGAACTGTAATCTTTAGATTAGATGAAGAATAAAGAATTCTTATTGTGATTTGAGGATAGATATGCTGAATATAGATATAATAGATATGTTGAAATTTTGCCTAATTATGTATAAGAATAAACTGAATTTATCATACCATTTTGCCAATGTGTACATTTTGTATCTTCTGGCAACATTTGTCTCACCACATCAGCATTAGATTTCTATTCCTGAAAACAAACAATATTTGTGAATTTTATGCTCATATACATAAACCCAAAATTAAAGAAAAAATATATAATGTATACATCTATATTGTATGTATTAACTCTGTATGGCTACTGTTAACGACAGTTTAGTATAATCGTAATTAATAAGTAATCTATATTATCATATAACTAAGTTATATGGTAACATAAATTACTTTTAAAAAGAACATTTATCTCCTTGGTGTTGGTACTTTCAATTGGAGGTTGTTCCACAAGGAAGGTTCCAAAGGAGGTTGTTTCAAAAATAAACAAATATCGACATCAACATTAAAAATAACAAGTATGCTCAAGATGCTAATAGCGTAATATAGCATAAAGTCGACTCCGCGCTATAGAAGCATATTCTAGGTTGCTACAGACCAGAGATTTTTAGGGAGTAACTTTATTTATTTATTTATTTCTACCTCTGTCTTTACAGGCGTACCTAATACGACAGTGTAGGCACATAAAACTATCTAATTTAATAAGGACAGAACACAACTTATCTACTATTATAACATAATATATAATATAATGTCACTTAGGTAAATTCACCCAAGGAACAGCAGAATAAATCTACATCCTGAGCTACTTTATTTAGTGTGCAGCACTCGGGTCAGTGGGCCTCGTTTAGAAGGTACGTACGCGCGGTGTCTCGAATGGTGGGGGCCACTTCCGGCACCACACGTACCTGTCCGGCACACACAACATAGCTATTCGCAATATCGCCTCGTTATATACTTGGTTTGCGGGGACCTGAAACAGCGTTTACGTTTCAGGAATCCGATCATTCTATTTACCACCGTCATCATTACAGCGCTTCACAAGTCCACTGCTAACCGTAGGCCTCCCCCAAGAAATGTCACAAAGCACGGTCCTAAGCCACCTGCATATCCAGGTCGTCACTTCATCAACATTTTATTTACTTAAACATTTTTTTCTTAACCTAAGACTTTTATACTTCTTTAAGGCCAATTTTTGGGGTTCACCCATTTTAGATACATATTTTTCATCAATATCACCCTTCAATATTTTATTGTTTATGTTGCACCAATTGTGTCCATGTAATCTAATTAAAATGTTGGTGAAAAAGTTTTTTACAATTAAGGCATGCTTTTCCAAGTGACATAAGACGTAACCTAAAAAGGTTCAAATCTAAATATCTTTTTTTTGACGCCTTCTCAGGACAAAATTCTTTGACAGAGTTATTAAGGGTGTGACGCGAACATTTTAAGATATTTTTGATATATAGACGCTACAATTCATTCTCAACTAATTTTATGTATGAAAGACTGCCATTGTTCTTTGTTAATAACAAAACATAAACGAACTCTGAGCTCTGTCTGCCACTAGAGCTGTAAAAACCTTCTTGTGATGCTGTACTATAAGTACTTTTTATAGTATACAAATCAGACTAGGCTGTATCGTCTATGACCTTGTTTTACTTTAAATAGTGAATAGTATCAACAAACAAACTCTTTGGTGTATTTTACAAATGGCAATGATTAGCTTAACTTGACATCTGACAGCAAGTTTATAATAATTAATCTATGGCAAGCGCGTTTTGTACTGAGATAGAAAATTGTGATGTAAAAAGAAAATAATAAATGTTTGTTGACCGTTATGGCGAATCCTCGGAAATTTAGTGAGAAAATAGCTCTCCATAATCAAAAGCAAGCAGAGGAAACGGCTGCTTTTGAAAAAATTATGCGCGAAGTTTCCGATGCAACCAATAAGGTATGTCGCCTATTTACTCAGGCAATCGCTTCCTGGCCGTCAAATATATGAACCGACGTAAACAATAATCATTACAATATGCCAATTGCGACTTAATAATTAATGAATGATTAAGTCCTATTTATTATGAAAGATACACAATAACAGATTATCTTGTGTTGTCTGTTGTTTTTAGTTTGTATGTGATAAATAGTTAGTGTCGGTATTGAAGATTGTTAAATTATATATTAAAAAAATAGTAAGTTCACATGCAACATGATGTTAATTTAACGCTTAATTTTTTATATCCAGGTTTTATATATTTCAATTGATATATTTGATCGTATTACTAAGCTTGTTATAATATGTAAACAGAATTGAAGTTAAGTTTGTAGATTCACAGTCGCTTATAAATAAATGTTTCTTTTTACTAACCTATGTACAATAATGTGAAGTGTTCACAATGAAGGTAAGAAATATGAACTATAGAACACAGAAATGTTGAAGCAGCATGGTTGCAGGTTAATTCAAGTAGCCGACGAGCAAGAGTAATACCTCCACCTGAACCTGTAGAAAATGTTGACTCTTCTCTAAGGCCTACACAACAGACTCTCGGCACTTATCGAAGCGGCTCTCTCCCTAATGTAGCAGCACCACAGCCGCCTACCACTGAACCAGAAAATATTAAGGTTCCTAATTTTGGAATCAAATCATTTCAATATTGTTTTTGTTGTAGTACTCGCTACATTTACTTTTTGTAGACATTGATGCAATTTCTTTTTTACATTTGATAATTTGTATTGTAAGGTCACTTTTATTTAATTTCCTTCTTATAAAATGACCTTTATTGAGTTATTTCTATAATCCTTGAAGGAATTCATGGAACAAATTTAAGATACATTTATATTTACTTTGAAACATGTGTTCTCCAAGTTTTTCCTTGTTAGTAACTTCACCATGTGTTCATTTGATAAACAAATTAATGTTAGATATAACTGTTTATTGAACCTTACAAGCCAGTTTGCATCACATAGTTGTAGATATTCAAATTTAAGTTGGTATTTATAGATCCTTAGTGTTTACGTTTTGCATATTAATGTGTTATCTAAGCACTTGTATTATGTCATTTTATTTTCAAAAGAGCATGTCATTTCTTGTTTATTTGAAAATTGTATTTTAAATTTATCAAATAACCTTACTGGATCATGGCGGTGTAAGAATATACAAACCCCATATTATCCCATGTGTGTTGTAAGAGGCGACAGAGGGAAACTGAAACAGGAGATGGACAGCAGCATTTTCCTGATAACAACACAAAATAATAAAAAACTACAGTTGCCAACCCTCATGTCAAGCGTGGCCACTATGGTAAAATCCCCCCTATGAAGCAATCCTTAGAGCCCTATGTTCAGCAGTCGAATTTTAGAGGCTGTAATGCAAATTAGTTTCAGTATTTTATATTCAATAGTACTGAAGTGAGTGAGCTAACTGTTCTATTAACAAAATACAGCCATTTCAAATCTTTTAAATAATAAATTGTCTCTATTAATAATTAAAAAAAGGAAGGTATTTGTTTTAGCTCTAATCTACAATATTACTCATACTAAGCTAAATCTGAGGTGGAATTTATATTACAAAACATTTATTTTACTTTACATTACATTAGTGTTATGGCATTAATTTCATCAGTAATTTACATGTAAGCTTCTAATTTTATAATGCATGCATAAATTTCATGTGCATTTTTTTTTTGATAAAATAATGTCTTCAACTAATTTCATTGTGTAAATGCGATGCTAAAGTAGTGTTCTGAATGCCCTTGCCCTGAGTGGATGCAATGGTTTTTGTCATTAAAATAATTATTAACCATGTTGTACAGTTAAATATTAAACACTCAGTATAAGCATGATCACCTCATTCCCAGGGGTTCCAATCCAGTCCAACCCTACGGCAATACTGGATTGACTGATAGTATATTAAAGTGCTGAAGTGTTTGTACAGTCAAACTACAATATTAAAGAAGTGCTAAAGCAGAGTATGAAACATAGCCAACTGCAGGGAGTTGTAAGACAGCATGAGGCTGTATTTACGAAAGTTTTCCTGCTTCATTAGAAAATGTTTTTAAAACTACTTGACTGGAAGGGATACAGTGTCTACAGCTATGGTTAATATATCACTCACCAGATTGTATTCAGACAGAAAGATAGATGCCAGCAAATTATTCCACTCCTTTGCTGTACTCCGAAAACTTGCCCAATAGACTAGCGTGCCAAACCCTGTCAAAGGCCTTGGAAACAGCAAGTGCTTCACCACTGTTCTCGAGGGCTTCGCCCCATATGTGAGTGAAACCCATACTGAAGGTCACTGAGAAGATCATTCTGCTATAGGTATGCCATGAGGTGGGCGTTCAATATACGCTCCATAATCTGTAAGATTATGGAGCGGATAGTTGGCAGGGTTTGTACGGCTACCTTTTTTAGGCACAGGCTGCACATTGGCCAGCTTCCAAAATTTGTGCATTATTCCAGTCCTGAGTGAGAGGCGGAACATGCGTGTCAACACAGGAGACAACTCAAGTGCACTTTGTTCACATCTAGACTTCGCAAGTAAGAACCTCGTTGTTAGTGATATGGACCTCTGACATAGAGGTACCGCAGTGAGGTAATTGAGATGGTACGCTGTTGCTACTGTCTAGACGCGAGTTGCAAGTAAAAAGAGAAGCAAATAAGCCCGCTTTCTCCTTAAGCGCATGTGCCAGTGAGCCATCTGGTTTTACCAGCGGAGGCAGTGTAGAACGACAGAAGTTTGCCTCGACCACTTTGGCCAGAGACCAAAAAGCTCTTCTGCCAGGTGGTTTAACAGAGAGCTTTGTACCAATGCATTTAATGCGCTCGAAACTGGCTTGCCGTGATACCTTTTTGCAAGACTTGGCGGCTTGGTTAAAGGCTCTCTTCTTAAGGCTAACATTCGGAGCTTTGTGGTTTTGAGCATGGACCCAGGGTAAGTAGGCCACATGCTTGTGCTTTTCAGCATGAGCGCACTCGGCGTGTAACCATGGGCGAGCTTTACCACCAATGGGCACGTCAGCAATGGGGATGAAATACTCCATCGCTTGACGTATCACATTGGTTATGGCATTCGCGCAGCTCGACGGATCTTCAGACGACAAGCAGACCTGCCCCCAAGGATAAGATGCAAAGAAATGCCGCATCTCATCCCAATCTACTGACTCGTATCGTCGCTCACTATGCTCACCTAACCACGCAAATCGTAGTTAGGTGGGGAACATAACGACAGAGATTTCACCAGACAAGGGTTAGAAGTTTCCAAGGGTGAGGTAACCTGAACATCGTACCTGTCTGGATCGGTCATCAGGAGAAGGTCGAGGCAGTTGGCTGTGTGCCTATCCACATCAGGTACCCAAGTCGCTTGTTGTACCAGCTGGGAGAGCCCCAGCACCATGACAAAATTCCACGACTCTCTACCATCGTAGTCGGTCGTCTGGTATTGGAACAGCCAGTCATGATGACAGGCATGAAAATCCCCCAGAAAAACCAACTGTGCGTTAGGGCACCGATTTAGAGCCACATCAGAGGCTACACTGAGGTATTCAAACTTCAAACAACTTAGTTGTCTCTTGGTCAGCGCTTTTTTTTTAATACAATAGGGGGCAAACGAGCATGCGGCTCACCTGATGGTAAGTGACTACCGCCGCCCATGAACAACCGCAACACCAGGGGAATTTCAGATGCGTTGCTGGCCTTTTAAAAAGGTGTAAGCTCTTTTCTTGAAGGATCCTAAGTCGTATCGGTCCGGAAAATTCCCTGGTGGTAATTGATTCCACAAGGAAGTTGTGCGAGGGAGAAAACTTCTTCTAAATCGCACAGTGGTGGACCGCCAATCATCCAGATGGTATGGATGGTAACGCGAGTTTTGTCGCGATGTGCGATGGAGAAATTGAGCGGCTGGAATTAGTCCGAACAATTCCTCAGAGCACTCACCGTGATAGATGCGATAAAATACGCAAAGAGATGCAACATCTCTACGCAGTGCCAGTGTATCGAGCCGATCAGAAAGAACTCGGTCGTCGACGATTCGAATCGCTCTGCGCTGGATGCGGTCAAGTGGAAGGAGCTGGCATTGGGGTGCCCCGGCCCAGAGATGAGAACAGTATTCCATGTGAGGCCGAACTTGCGCTTTGTAGAGTTGCAAGCGATGTGCCGGCATAAAATACCGTCTCGCTCTGCTGAGCACGCCAAGCTTTTTAGAGGCCAATTTGGCCTTCCCTTCCAAGTGACCACGAAACTGCACACTATTCGATATGTCGACGCCAAGCATTCCGATACTGGCTGAGGCAGCAAGGAGAGTGCCTTGAAACTGAGGAGATACGACAAAGGGGTTCTTTTTAGCGGTAAACGCGAAAACTTGTGTCTTCTGGGGATTGAACTAGACTAGATTTAGTCGGCCCCAATCCGAGACTGTTAAGCAAAGACTCGACTTCAGACACAAGTTTGTCCCGGTACTCGGCGACGTTTTTCCGAGAAATATTGGCACGGCCGGTATATAAGGCATCACCAGTGCTGTCGTATGCATAGCAATGAATGCTACCAGTTAGCAATATATCATTGATATGCAGGAGAAACAGCGTTGGTGATAGCACGCAACCTTGTGGAACACCAGCGTTGATAGGCTTGAAATCAGAGCATGCACCGTCTACTACGACCTTGATGCTCCGATCAGCAAGGAAACTGGTGATCCATTTGCACAATTTCTCGGGAAGCCCACAAGAAGGAAGCTTCGAAAGAAGCGCTTTGTGCCAGACCCGATCGAAGGCTTTCGCTATGTCCAAACTAACGGCCAATGCCTCTCCCTTGGACTCTACTGCCTCCGCCCATCTATGAGTTAAGACTAGAAGATCACCAGCTGATCGACCCCGACGAAAACCGTACTGGCGGTCACTAATCAGCTGGTGATCCTCAAGGTACCTCATGAGCTGGCAGTTTATAATGGATTCCATTATTTTGGAGAACAAGGAGGTGATGGCGATAGGCCTGTAGTTGGACGGGTCTGAGCGGTAGCCTTTTTTAGGGATCGGGTGGACCAAAGCTGTCTTCCATGAATTCGGGACTACGCCTTGAGAGTAAGAGTACCGGAAAAGACGCGTTAGAACCGGTGCCAACTCCGGAGCACACGTCTTCAGCACAATGGGAGGGACTCCATCGGGCCCACTCGACTTGCTGACGTCCAGGGAGAAGAGTGCTTTGCGGACCGAGCGCTGTGTAAATCGCACATCCGGCATGGAGCACTCACATCGCGGGATGGTCGGCGGTGTGTTCCCCCCGTCATCTAGAGTCGAGTTGGACGCAAAAAGAGAGCTCAACAGATCGGCTTTCTCCTTTGCGGCATGGGCCAGTGAGTCGTCCTCTCTGTGCAGAGATGGAAGAGATGCCTGACAGAAGTTCCCTTGGACAGCCTTGGCGAGAGACCAGAATGCACGGGTTCCCGAAGGAAGGCGAACTAGCTTCTCGCCAATTCTGCCGATGTGCTCAGACCTTGCCTTGGCAATGACGCTTTTGAAGGACCTGGAGGCGGAATTATACTTCTTTTTAAGTGCGCGGGTGCTTACATCCCGAGACGTTGTCAGCCCAGGCCCGGTAGCACTCCTGCTTATAGCGTGATGCTATTTTACAGGAGCGACCAAACCATGGCTGGGATCTGCCTCCGATAGGCACCACAGAGGATGGAATAAAAAGTTCCATACCCTGAAGTTGTGGTACTTACAGCAACAGAATTGGCAACAACGCTGGGATCTTCCGGCGAGAAGCAAACCCGCCCCCAAGGGTAGGATGCAAAAAAAGACCGCATCCCGTCCCAATCAGCTGACCTATAGTGCCAAAAAAGGCGGCAAGTTGCAGATCGCAACTGCGATTGGAGCGTGAGTGGGACCGTACTCCGGATCAGTCAATGGTCCGAAGAGCCCAGAGGGGCATCGACGGAGACCTGATATCCGTCCGGATGAGAGGTCAGCAGAAGGTCCAACAGGAAAGGTACATGGTCTTCCACATCTGGAATCCGCGTAGTCTAAGTAACCATTTGTGTTAGACCATATGCCAAAGCAAAGTCATAGACAGATGTACCCGCATGATCGGTTAAACGAGAACCAAGCCATTCAGCGTGGTGGGCATTGAAATCACCGAGTATCACGATCTCTGCGGATGGGACCTGTTGTAGCACGGAGTCTGCAGGCATTTGGACGTGGTCGATGAGTCGGTCTGTGTCGGCATTACCGCTATGGGACCTATAGAAGCACCCGTAGACGCGGGGATGGTCGCCGCTGTCTACGCGCAGCCATAGGATGGACAGGTCCGTAACTTCAAGACTGCCGAGGCGTCGAAAACAGATGTCCTCTCTGACGTATACGCAAACTCCAGCCCGGGGCACAAAGGAGTGTTCCAATTTGTACCCCGGGTAGGAGAGATATGAAGTATCAGCCGGAGAGGACACCTGAGTCTCGATTAAAAAGAGCAAGGCCGGCTTCGCCGTCTCTAGATGGTAATGGACAGCGTTAAGGTTGGAATGAAGTCCCCTGATGTTGCAAAAATTCACGGATAGCGTGACAGGGGTCAACTTGGTTGTATTGCTCCGCTTGCCCCGAGCAGCATTAGTCGCGAACGGAATTTCGCCCTCCCCCCCGTCCCCCTCCCATAATACGCGGTGCAGCCTGAGCACCCACGCCCAGGAGTGGAGTGGTTTGGCCGTGGATGCACAGCGAGGGATTCTCCAAGGGTGCTGGTATCCTCCTGGGTTAGTCATCTGTACAATCCCACTACCATGTTGATGGGGGGGGGGGGGGGGGGGGGAATTGGGCCTCCGGCCACCTGCACTCACCAAGCGCAACGCAGAGGTAAACCTCTACTTCACGCTGGTATTCTGTGAGGTCGTGGTACCACCCCGGTTCGAGCTGGCCCATTCGTGCGACAGCAAAAGCTACCGCTTGGCTCTACCACTGTTAAAAGCGCTGTGCGATCGGTAGACACAAGAATAAATAATTTTATCCATTCCTGTGTCTATCAATACCCAGATCGTAGAGAAAGGCAGGTCTTCAAGGTGACGGAGACGCTTACAGCAGTCGTTGCGGACGTAAACACAGACTCCGGCGCGCTGATGGAAATTATGCTCCCATGTGTACCCAGGGTACCCAAGGTATGCCGCATCTAGAGGATCTGATCTGCATCTCAGTCAAGAAGAATAAATGCGGCTTGTCAGTCTCGGGGTGGTAATGGACTGCATTGAGATTACAGTGCATGCCTCGGATATTTGTGAGGTGCACTTTGATGGAGAGGGAGTGCAACCGCTGTATAAACTAACGGCGGACGGGATGGCAGAGGATTTAAAATTTACGAGTATCAATTGATTTTAAATTAATTTCATTGTGCATAAAACTAGTTTTGTAATGTTAATCCCACTGACAGTACAGTAGCTCTTAACATAAATACTTCTTTATTAAAAAGAACTTAATAAAATATTTTGTCTACAGCCTGAAGAAACTACTCTAGCAGCTCAATATGGAATGGGCGGGGGCCGTAGTGGAGGCACTTCCCCTTCACGAGCACCAGTGCAAAGAGGTCGAGCTTCTTCCTCTGTTGGGCCGATGCGAAGGCCCGCTGATCGAAAACATGACACCAGCCCATATGGCAGTACTGTCTATTTGAGGTAAACAGTATGACACATAACTTATGGATGCATTGTCAATTCATTCTAGGAAATCTCATTCATAATTTATAAATTTATTGTGCGTGTATCATAAAGATATTAACAGGAAGTATTTTGCATTAATATTGAGTCGTCTTTATTTAAAGTGTCATGATACTATAAGAAATAATTTAAAGTTAACTCTTTGTAAAACATAAAAATACAATTTTTTAGTGCAGGAGGAGGTTCTCAATATGACTTTTTGTTGTTTTTGTATGATTGATGAGCGATATCTTCATCTATTGATAATTTAGGGGTGGTGCCATATGAATTGGGAGATAATTAGGGGTGTAGTTTTAATCTATTTAGACGACATTCTAGTTTATTTGAATTTGTAATATTCCTAAATCCTCTCAAAAGGGTAAAAACTATTAACAAATAAAAGAAAAAACCGACTTGTAGCTTGATGGTGCTTAGTCATAGTGTATAGAAGATTTAAGGACCCGAGTTCAGAAGCTATTATGTTGAAACAATTTTATTGTTTTAGTTTCTTTTTTTAATTCATTACAATTTGCTCTGTTCATATAGTAAAAAGTTAACGAAGGCTGTGAAGTACTGCCAGTACATGTTAAACTTAATTTAATGTACCATTATACCAAATATTACACCTTTATATTATGTTATAGCTGTTCCCCGTTTCTTCGTCCGCGTGGAATTTATTGCGATTGGATTTCATTGGTTTTAATTTTTTGCACGGAACCCTAATTCTTTTCCTAAAATAAAAGTAACCTAATGTCCAAATATTCAAACGTTACTCAATTTTAAGACGTTGTTAAGTCGCATGCTGTCTCTATCATTTTGAGTCAAAGTGACTGTGACAGCACGAGACTTAAAGGCTTCTTAAAATTGACTAGGGTTTGAGTATTTGTGCATAAGTTACTTTTTTATGTTATAACAATAACATCAGCTATCTGCCAGTGAAAGTCACATCCAAATCGGTTGACAGGTTTTTGCGTGATGCGTGTTCAGACAGACGTCGTGTTAGAGTTTTAATATAGCATTGAAGATAGATAATAATAATAATAATAGGGTTCCTAAAGATCAGGATACCACAGACCTTAGCAAGTACCGCCCCATCACGTGTCTACCCACGATATACAAGACACTAACATCCATTTTGAGCGCGAGAATCTCTCGTCACCTGAAGTCAAATCAGGTGATGTCGCGCGTTCAGAATGGATGTAGGGACGGTGGTCGTGGAACCAAGGAACCACTACTCATTGACGCGGTCATTGGCAAGGTGGTTAAACGCAACCGTCGGAACCTATCCGCCGCCTGGATAGACTACAAAAAGGCATTCGACTCGGTGCCTCATACATGGCTTAAGAGGGTCCTCGAGCTGTACAAGGTTAACTGTACAGTTCGAGACTTCCTCGGGCAGTGGAGTACGATCCTTTGTCATCTAGGCGAGCGGATGACGGCTGCGGAGAATCACATAAGGATAAGAAGGGGTAACTTCCAGGGCGATTGTTTGAGTCCAATCTGGTTCTGCCTTTCTCTGAACCCTCTCAGTAAAGGTACTGCTGAAATCTGAAAGCAAGCAGCAAGCAAGGGCTGGAGGGTTCTGGGAGGGGATTTTAGTTTCGGAGAGGAGGTACAAAAGTAACTCACCTTTTCTATATGGATGATCTCAAATTATTCGGCTCCAGTCGCTCTCATCTTATGGAATTGCTAAACATCACTTGTGATTTTAGCAATTCTATTAGAATGGAGCTGGAGACGGATAGGTGGCGGTCCTCCATGTTGAAAGGGGAAGGGTTGCTAAATGTGAGGGAGGAATCTCTTCATCAACATAAAGACCCTATCCGAGGCTGAAACATACCGATACCTGGGTATGTCACAGAACATAGGTATCGATGAGGCGGACATGAGGCAGTCAGTTTGCGATTTGTTTTATGCACGCTTGACAAAAGTGCTTAACAGTCTTTTGTCGGGCGTTAATAAGTCATACGCATATAACGGTTGGATCATGCCTGTTCTCATGTATACATTTGGCATACTCAGGTGAACTCAGACCGAACTGAACGCTCTGGATAGAAAAGTCCGCACTATTATGACGTCCCACAGGATTCATCATCCGAGGTCGTCAGTAATGAGGCTGTACTTGCCGCGGAAACATGGTGGGCGCGGCTTTTTAAGCGCGCTTACCATGCATAATCGCGAAGTGTGCAGCCTCCGTAATTACTTTCTGACGAGAGCGGATGATCCATTCTATAGGAACGTTATTTTTTGTGATAAAGGACTTACCCCTCTATCCTTAGCCAACGAGCAATGCTAAGACCCGGCAGTATAGAGCATTTCCGACCGGGAGACCGTGTGGAAGGAGAAGAAGCTCCACGGGAGGTTCTACAAGGCTCTACATGAGCCTTTCGTAGACACAGTTGCCTCCCTCCACTGGCTACGTTTTTGTGACCTCTTCGGGGAAACCGAGGGTTTTGTCTGTGCAATAGACGATCAGGTTATTAAGACCAACAACTATCGGAGATACATACTAAGGGATGTCACCGTCGACATTTGTCGAGCTTGTCGCCATCCCGGTGAATCACTTAGGCATGTCATCTCCGGTTGTTCGGCGCTTTCCAACTATGAGTACTTGCATAGGCACAACCTAGTAGCCAGGATTCTACACCAAGAGCTCGCTCTGAAACACGGTCTCGTGGATCGGAAACTGCCTTATTATAAGTACTTGCCGGAAACCGTGCTCGAAAATGACCGCGCCAGGCTCTACTGGGGCCGGGCCATCATCACAGACAGGACCATTCTTGCGAATAAGCCTGATATTGTGCTGATGGACCGGGCACAGTCAAGGATATTTTTGGTCGACATTACCATTCCGTATGACAAGAACCTCGTGAAAGCCGAAACAGATAAGCGTACAAAATATCTGGTCCTGGCTCACGAGGTGACCGACATGTGGGGCGGACTGCCGGCCGAAATTATGCCTGTAGTCGTTTCTGCGAACGAGTTAATCCCAGTCAGCCTCTCGGGTCATCTGAGGCGACTGGGACTCCGTGACGGACCGCTCCAAGCTCAAATGCAGAAGGCGGTGCTCCTCGATACCGCCCGCATCGTCCGCCGGTTTCTTTTCCTTTCCCCCTAACCCTCGGCCGTTTGGTCTCCCCTGCCGAGGGCTTCCATCTGGTTGGGTTTTTATTTATTTATGTATTTTTTATGTATTTATTTTATTTTGTTGATATTTATGTATGTTTATCATTTTTATTTACAATTATATAATTATACAGCCCAACCAGATGAGAAAACTTTATAGATAACCCAGATAATAACAGATAATAGTTAATAAATTAGATAGGTGTGGTAGTTACAGATTTTGTACTTCCCCAAATTGGGCCTAAACCTCTCATTTCTGAGATTGATATAGAACCATTAGTTTATTAGAGCCATCAATTTATTTGTTTTGGAAGCCTATAATTAGCAGAGAGAATAAACAGTTTACTTTCTTAAAATGATATATTCAATTATGATAAACTAGGCTACAGTACCATGATTTTGCAATTAATTTACAATTACATTGTTTATTAAGTTATTTGTGAACAAAGTTTGAGATTATCAATCTAGCAAAAAAAACCCTGTGGTATCTATACAAGTACGAGTGCTATCTACTCACTATCTCACACATCTAGCATTGTTGGTATGGGCAACTCTTACAAGAAATACGTGTCAATTTGCATTTTCTTAATAAAGAAAAAAGGGCCGAACATGATAGGAGAAATTATTCTATTTTGTATTCACAATATTATTGAGTTATTAATTTTTGCCAAATACGTATGCTTACACCGTTGTGGTCCGGTTTGAAGGGTATTGAGAGCCAGTATAATTATAGGCTGTCAGGCAATTCCTGTCAGTCCTCAGATCAGAGATGGCAAGTATCCATTAACCATATGGTAGGCTGTGTTAGTTGGTCACTTGTTTTTTTTTCGGAACTAGGGTGTGACTGTGCACAGGTACAGGTCCAAAACGCTTGAAGTAAATTCTGTGGTCCATAAAGTTATAGCCTATTTACATATCCCACTGGTGGGGATAGACCTCTAATTTTTTAGTGGGTTGTAGAGCAAGGTGTCCGCTGCTCTATCCCAAAGCAAATTAGCGGACTTCATATGCCTTTGCTATATGTTTTTTAATTTCTCAGGCATGTAAGTTTCCTTACGATTTGTTCTTTCACAGCCGGTACTGAGCACATGGTAAATCAGCACTTAAAATTGCAGTTAACGACTTTATTGGTGCCGGCGGGAATTGAAGCTGGATTGTTCGCGTACTGAAATGTTTACAGCAAGTACTTAGCCCCTGAGTAGCTTGCCATGGCCCCTGTGGCTTAGAGACATCTTCACTAATAGTTGTCGACTAAAGTCAAAGTTTAGATGGGTTGTCAATCTTAAGGACCTTAGATGGAATGCCTCATTGCCAGTAAAAAGGTCATCAATCTTCTACAATAACTATACGAAACATAGCAACGTATTTTTTGTATTTTACGCTGGTATAATCATTGATTAAGAATTATTATTTGAATGAAATTCCAGTCCGCCGCCGGACAGCAACTGGCGGCGCACGAACTCTGACTCTGCGTTACACCAGTCGTGCGGCGGCGAGCAGCAGCCGGTCGCACAGCCGCTCTCCCCCCACCATCCGCTGCACTCGCACGCACATCCACATCTACATCCGCACCACAACCACCGCAGAGGTACCCATATATTATGGTCAAATTCTCTTTCAGACTGTTTGATTAATAACTGAATAAGCTTAATGGTTAAAACAGTAATTTAAAAACCCGATTGCGTTAAAAAGTTTACTGAAGAAACCGTCCCCTTCTTTTTTGTATTAGGTGCAATATGTAAATACATCACTCCCACATATAAGACAAATCTAACAACACCTCATATGTTAAAATCCATGAAGTTGTACATGCATACTCTCGAAAAAAATTACCCTCCTGAGACATTCAGGTAAAAAGCCTATCAAAGATCATTAAGCTATAGGCTGGCCATATAGCTCGACGAACCGACAACCTTTCTAGATTGGCAGCCTTGTCAACTAGCAAGGGGAGTGTTGGACGGCCACCCACTAGAGGGAGTAACAACCTATTAAGTCATGCAGGAAGTCAATGGACGCAGGCAGCTGAGGAACATACTTTGTGGCGTTAGTATGGGAAGGACTATGTTCCACAGTGACAATAATTGGACTTGTAGGTGATAATGATGAAAATAATATAAAAATGTGTTCATACTGTAAGTATTTTTTAAGAATAAGGGTGACAAACCAGCCTACTCCTTTTTAAAAGGCCGGCAACGCATCTGCAATTCCCCTGGTTCCCCTGGTGTTGCAGTTGTTCATGGGCGGCGGTAGTTACTTACCATCATAAAAAAAAACACAGTCCACCTTTCGGTAAGTTTATGCTGTGGCCCATAGTCATTGACATTTATCCCCAATTAAGAATCAAAATGCAGATGCGATTTCAACCCTGAGGATTATAATGGAATGCCCTGTTTCCAGGAAAAAGGTCTCCGATTCTCTACATTCACTATATGAAACGCAGCAGCATTAAACTACTATTTTACGAGTATGCTGGTATGCTAGTATTCTTTGAGATTGTGTTCGCCGACTTATTCATGCCATTACTATAATATATCTGCAGTGTGGCTCTACCACATATAAATTTACTATTTATCAAGCAATTAATAAAACGTATGTTAAATTTCAGCACCTGACATCCATCTAGATATGCTGACATCTCTTGGCATGAATCCCACAAATCGCCCACGGTCATCATGTGAAATTCCTAGGATACCAAATAATAACAAGTGAGTTAAAAGTTTCTTAAATTATGTTAAAGTTATCATTTTTATTCAAGGTTAACGAGGAAATTTTACGAAAGGAGATTCATAAGGCCTGCATAAAACATTGTTTTTATTTAATCTCTCAATGATGGTATAATTAATATATCTCTTGCATTATACCAAATAGAAATCAATGAAAGTGGTTGTTGACACACATAACTGCAAAGTCCATTTGTGTGCGTGGTCAATCTCTTTCATATAAGTGCTGTAATGCCTCGTTAGTCGAGTGGCTGTAAGCGCAACTACTGATCTTATGGTCCTGGGTTGGATCGAAAACCAGTTATTCGTTTGTCAAAGAATTATGAGTCTGGAAGTTGGCAGTATTGGTCCGGTCATGTCAGATTGCCGTCGTATCTAACTATGAGAGTGCACTTCTGCTTGCGCACATATTCAGGCACCATAATCCTGTACTGCGAAGATGGCTAGTCTCTGTTAAGACTGGCCGCCCTGACCCAAATTCGGTTTGGAGGTCATTATGTATGTACAGTTTCAAGTCTTAATTTTATCTCTTATCAGATGGGTGTAATGCTCTTCTTCTTCTTCTTCACCAGCTCGTAAAGTCCAGCTGGACATAGGCTTCTCCTACTGTAGTTGGATTTGCGTCATACTTGTCAGTTATACCGGCATCTATCGAATCCCGTGGGATCTTTATAACTTATCCCATTGTTACCTCGTACAATACTCACAGGATGTAATGGAGTGATAGATTCACAGCACCATAGACAGCAACATCACACGCAATAAGGTTAAGGTTGGGATAAGTGAATGAGTCTCGACTTTAATTGATAGAATCAGGCGTTACTTTGCGGAAAATCCATTATAATAGGGTTGTTATAAACTAATTTGTCTGACTTTTTAGAACCACGGTTAATTATTTCCATATTAACAGATTACAGTTAGTTGTGTGTTTATGCAGCATTACTGGTCTCTTCTTCCTATTATGATTTTGATGATACTATGAAATAAAGTAGGTATACAAAATTGCATCGGTCCTTAATAATTTAGCTTGGTTTAGTTTAGTTTAGTTTACGACGGGCTGTTTTCCGCAACTCCACGTCTATGCGCGTATTTTGCGTGTGGACAGGAATAATATGCATATTCGAGCCATGATATCTCCCCAAAGAAGCTCAACAGTTCTTTGATGTTGCATGCAACTTCGGGGAGTGATCTCGGCGTGCCGAGATATTTAGTCCTGTACGTAGCGACCTCCGGACATTTCAATAGCACATGGGCCGCCGTTTCTTCTTCCCCCATACATGCCCTGCACAGGGGACTATCTGTTACACCTATAGTAAATAAATGCTTGTTAAAGTTGCCGTGTCCTGTGATAGCACTTGTTACTATCCTGATCTGCGGCTTGTTCAGTCTCATTAGAACTTTGGTTAAACGACTGTTTATTTCAGGCAGGGCCTCCCTAGCTTGTCTACAGTCTACTAGATTTTTCCAAAGCTGAGCGTGTTGATTAGTGAAGTGTCTACGTACCAGTGAACGAACATTACCAAAGGGGATTGGTATGATTGGTTCTGGCCCTATAGTGGCCAGAGCCGATCCTCTTCTGGCAAGTTCATCTGCTGCATCGTTGCCTCTGGATCCACTGTGTCCCTTTATCCATTCATCATCATCATCATCATTACAGCCCTTCACAAGTCCACTGCTGAACATAGGCCTCCCCCAAAGAATGCCACAAAACACGGTCCTGAGCCACCTGCATCCATCGACTTCCTGCATGTCTTACCAGGTCGTCACTCCATCTCGTGGGGGGACGCCCTACACTTCGCCTACCGGTACGAGGCTGCCACTCGAGAACCTTTCTTCCCCATCGGTTGTCGGTTCTTCGAGCTATATGGCCGGCCCACTGCCACTTCAGCGTACTAATCCGTTGGGCTATGTCGGTCACTCTGGTTCTACTGCGGATATCCTCATTCCTAAGTTTATCACGCAGAGAAACTCCGAGCATAGCCCTCTCCATAGCTCGCTGAGCGACCTTGAGCTTCCTCATACGGCCAGCAGTGAAGGACCACGTCTCAGTTCCGTAAGTCATCACTGGCAACACGCACTGGTTGTACAATTTCGTTTTAAGGTTTTGAGGTATGTCTGACGAGAAGATGTGTCGTAGCTTCCCGAACGCTGCCCAGCCGAGTTGAATCCGTCGATTGACCTCTCGGTCGAAGTTGGACTTACCCAGTCGGACTATTTGTCCCAGGTAAACATACTCGTCAACAACTTCGAGCTTAGTGTTCCCAACAACTATCGGCATAGGTGTGACATGGACATTAAACATGATCTTAGTTTTATCCATGTTCATCTTAAGACCTATCCGTTGGGAAACACTATTGAGGTCATTGAGCATAGTGCTTAGGTCCTCCAGCGATTCTGCCATAAGAACTATATCGTCGGCAAATCGAAGGTGAGTGATGTACTCGCCATTGATGTTGATACCGTATCCTTTCCAGTCCAGAAGCTTGAAAACGTCTTCCAATGCAGCTTCCTTTATCCATTGCAGAGTCACATTGTTGTTTTTACATAACTCATTTAATCGTTGATGGCATTCATATATTAGTCCCAAGTTCACCACATTGCAACCCAGAGCTTTTAGTACCGCCCTACTGTCGGTTAGTATTCTGATGGGGAAGTCATTAACCTTCCTAGCATCTATTGCTATGGCCGCTTGAATGATACCCATACATTCCGCCTGAAAGACTGTGTTATGGGTGCCCAGCGGTGTGTATATGTGGATATTGAGGTCTTCAGAGAAAGTTCCAGAACCTACACCTTTATTTGTTTTAGAATCATCGGTGAAAACTCTAAGCTCTTTTGGGCTTAATCATTCCGGTGGCTGGTTTCATTTAATTGTATCCTATATTTCTTATGGAAAACAAATTGTTTAGGAATCTTATTGTACTTGGCTTGTAAGATAGGAATTTTTGAGTGAATTCTATCAATTATGCCTGTATGAGGGACACTATTCTTACTCCAAAGATTTAGGGTCTTGAGTCTGATGGCAGCTAAAGTCGCTTCTAAGGCTGCTTTTGGCGTAGTCCTTATGCATCCTGTGGCAGCCATACAAGCCAGTCTCTGGTAGTGCTAAAGCTTCTTTATAGTGGTGGCTTCGTTTGTCTGGTCCACCATACCAGAGCGCCGTATGTGATCATGGGCCGGATTACAGTTTTGTACAGCCACAGTATGATTTTTAGCGTCAGTCCCCATCTTTTGCCAATCATGTTTCTGCATTGCCAGAAAGTTATACTAGCTTTTTTGATTTTGTTTTCTATGTGTTTATTCCAGTTAAGTTTTCTGTCCAAGGTGAGACCTAAATATTTTACCTCAGAGGATACCTGGAGTTTTGTGCTGAAAAGACTTGATAGATGATAGTCATTCAGCGTTCGTTTTTGTGTGAACATAACTAGAACCGTTTTATTTAGATTGACGGTTAAGTCGTATTCCCTGCACCATCTCTCCACTATACGGAGAGCCGCTTGGGTCAGGTCGCACACTATGCTTGCTATCTTTCCAGAGACCAGTATTGTCAGGTCATCAGCATAACCTACTGTGTAGAAGTGATTGGCATTTAATTTGCTGATGAGTTCATTAATGACCATATTCCACAGGAGAGGTGAAAGAACCCCACCCTGCGGGCAGCCTTTCTTAATTTGGATTGGTTGTGATTCACCAGCAATCTTTATTATTTGTGTACTGAGCATGTTTACTATCCAGTCAATCAGTGCCGGTTCAACTTTATGTCTACTGAGTGCACTTTTTATGCTGGAGAAGTTCGTTCTATCAAAAGCACCTTCTATATCAATGAAGGAACCTAGACATATTTCTTTGTTTTGGATGGCCTCTTCAATCTTTGTTATTACCTGGTGAAGTGCCGATTCTGTTGATTTGCCTAGACTGTAGGCGTGTTGCTTGTCGTCTAGTGGTAAGTTCATTAGCGCCGACCCCTTAATTCCCTTTCACACATCCTCTCCATTGTCTTTAGGAGAAAGGATGTGAGGCTAATGGGCCTGTAGGATTTAGGGTCTGTGTAGTCGCTCTTACCTGGTTTTGGTATGAATGTGACTTTCACTTCCCTCCATCCCCTAGGAACATAATTAAGAGCCAGACAGGCTCTCATTATGGCAAAAAGTGTGACTATTAGGGCTTTACCTCCCCCCCCCCACTGTAGGAGTGCCGGGAATATGCCGTCTGGTCCTGCCGCCTTATAGGGGAGGAAACTGTGAATGGCCCAATGGATTTTGTCCATCGTTACCACTCTCTGTGCTAAATTTCAGTCTTTTGCTGTTGGTGTCAGTATTTCGTCATGCCGGTTTGCCTCTTGAGTTACGCAGCAGCCTGGGAAGTGCGTTTTAATTAGGATGCGTTGGGCTTCATCCGGCGATGTTGTGTGACTACCGTCGGGTTTCTTTAGAGAGAGACAAGAATTTAGCTTGGTTATGTTGTTGTGCAATAATATAAGATTACTTAAGGGTCGATTAACATTATAAAGATATAATGCTAGCATATGTGTGAGCAGTGGTAGCTAAGAGGCTAAACACTTGCTGTTAGTTTTATAGCAAGCTAAGTATTCCAAGTGTGATCTCCGAGGGGCGGGTGGAGGAAAACAAACAACAGGGTTCGAGACAAAAACTGTCGATTGAATTACCAAAATTGACACTTTAATTACAGAACACTAATTACAACTTAAAATCACACCAATAATAAAACACAATTGTACTACTGATCACTTTAGTTCGCAGTTCAATTTTAGGAGTACCTCTTCTAACATCAGTCAGCAACCGCCAGTTTCCCTGTAGCTGCTGGGCGGTGCTGTTAGCCACACTACCCTCTCGAGATCCCCTTTCTACAGTTTGTTTAGGGCAACTGGATCGAAGATGGCCCACTTTCCCCACAGCCAGAGCACCTAGGGCTGTATCCTTTATTGCGGTCGCGATCTGTAGCCGCTGCAACCTCCCTGACGCGAT